TAATGTACCAAGATTACTAATCCAAGTTTACTAATCTGAACATATTCCGTTTTGTTTGTTATCTTTCTCTGTTAACATCTTCATGGCAGAACTGAAGACTCATGGTGGAACTGCATTCTCTTGTGCCCACAAAGGTCTTGTTATGGCTATATTCATTCATAGTAGCTGTTTTTAGTGCTCTTTATGTCTCTAATTACTCATTTACATTTTTAAAGCCTTATTAATTTGGTTTTCATCTGCTTTCACAGTGACTTAGCTCCCCTCTCTCCTAAATGTGCTGATTTTAAGTAATTGCAAGCCCCTTGGGAGTGGACCAGAAAAAGAGAAGCCACTACCTAGCCTTTGCATTTCTTGGCCAGAGAAAATTGAGTGCGCTCAGCCCCAGAGGCAGCAGGCTGGACGTTACAGAAGCTTGGGGTTTTTGGTTTTTTGTTTTTCAGTTCTAAAGCTTGCAGATTAATGAAACACTGTGGCAAGCTCTCAGGACAGGACCTGGCGCTCATGTGTTAGGGCTTAGGGCTTTCCTACCCCTCCCACCCAACAGCTTATTTAACACAAGCGCCAAAGGCTGTCTTAACAAATCGCCAGGAACAGAAAAGACACTCGGAGGAAAAAAACGTGTTAAAATCAAACCACAGGAAGAACGGCCAATTTCTATCTTTTAACAATTCACAGAATGTACAGAAAGTGCCAACTCACTGGCTGGGTTTTGCCTTTTAACCCCCAAATCTAGAGAGTGTAGGTGTTGGGGTCAGGGTTGGGTCAGACCTGGCTCAGGAGTTTGCATACAAAAGTCGCCACAGGCAAAGTGTCTCCTCTTAGAACCCGCCTCTGGATCCACAAAGACCAGACTGATCCAGAAGCAGGTCCAGTAAAAGAGAACTTGTCAGGGCTGGGTGGACAAGCGTGGAGGTATAGAAGTGACCAGTCACCCCTGTCCTTGGAGTGAGTGCGTGGCAGTCTGTGGGAACTTTACTAAATGTCACAAGTTTCCTGAGAGCCACATTGAGTCTCAGTGTTTATAGGTCATGTTAGGTCACTGTCTGTCACAACCAGTACTAGTCACCTGAACGGGACAAAGGGGCATAAAGACATCCCTGGGACAGGGTCATTCAGATTTCCTGGCTGCAGTAGCAGCTAAGATTTCTGAGTGGTTGGAAGGTGGATAATGGCTTTTGAAATGACTGTCCCTTGTCAGGGTGGTATAAAATTGTCCTCACTCATCTCCTGGCACAGTCTCTCTCAGAAAGCTGCTGACACAGCCAAAGAGATGTGGATTATTGTTCATTTTTAAGAAAAACTTAGACTGGATTTGCTTATACCAGCCACCCTGGCTCCAGCCCTTTGCGCTTTCCTGTGATGTTGGGTAAGAGCTGCCGAGATGCTGAGTTGTAATGAGGCTGTCCCCTGCCTTGTCCTTGCATGTGTCTGGCCTTCACTTCTAAGGTGGGGTTCCTGAGTCTAGGGTATCAGTTCATGTCACACATACACACCCCAGGCCTTTCCTCTCCTTGAGACTTGAAAAGCATCAGGAATGTCCTCCTGACTGAAATCCTATCCCAGTCACAGCCGTTCTCTGACACTGGCACTGGAGGGTAAAGAGGTGTGAGTCTGGAGATCCAGTTGGCATGGTCATCAAAAGCTTTAAACATCTATACACGATTCCAGAAGACAGTTCCTCCTGAGGACATATGTTCTGAGGAAATGTGTTGAAAACTGTGTGTACAAGGAAGTCTTACTTATGCTAGTATAGAATTATAAAATACCCAAATGAATAGGTAATCGGTTGAATAATGGTGTGTATGTTCCCTAAAATACCACCAGGGCCAGCTTCAAGAGCCTGAGTGCAAGGCAGGCCCCGAGGGGCTCCTTGCTTGGCCTGCTGTTGCTGTCTTCAGACCGTGATCCTTTTTGAATAAGAATCCCTTATTTTCACTTTACTTTGGTCCTTACAAATTATGTGGCCATTTTCTGGATAGTATATAACAATGAAAAGAGTGCTTATGGAGACTATCTATCAAAGTGGAAGTTGTCTCTAATAAATCAACAAACAACAAGGCATAAAAGAAAGGCATAAATACTGCAATCCTAATTTTCTGAAAGCACAGCTATATAGGTGTGTTGACAGACAGCTGGACAGAAGTACAGCAAAATGTTGGGCAATTATCTCTGAAGAGGCAAGAGTATAAGGACTCATTTCTGTTTCTTCTTTTCCGTTACAGAGGGCATCCGTCTGCCCATTGACTGACTTTTCAGGAAAAAGCAAAACTGTAGATCACAGCTGAGATCCAGCCAGTCTGTCCATGCCTACATGGGGTCAGGAGCCCTTCACCTGCAGAGTAGGTCTCTGTATAAACACAGGGCGATCAGTTGGGGAAACTGTGTTCTTAGGAGCTCTTTGAAGCCAAGGACTCATTTCTCCACCCCTCCCCCACCCCAGGCCTGGCATGAGTGACACCCAGTGCGTGGCTTTTTACCACACTTGGGACATCAGGTAACAGCTTTGACCCATCGCGGTCTCACAGGACATGGACCACTGTATTCTGACCAGGAGATTGGACTTTCTCAATCTTAAGGCTACACATGTGCCCCAATTGAGTGTCTGATTCAAGGAGAGGAGCCACCCACAAGTCTTCCTGTGCCCCTCACTCACTGTGAACCCCCTCCAGGAGCTGAGACCAGATTTGTTCCTGTGCAAAGTGATGCACAGCCGACTGCACCTGCCTCCCTTCTGTATGTCTGTGTGTCTGTGTTCATGCCAGTGAGTACAGGTGCACACATGCTAAGACACGCGTGTGGAGGTCAGGGGACAACCTCAGGTGTCAGTTCTCACCGTCCACCTTGTTTTAGACATGGTCTCCTGTTCACTGCTGCTAGGCGAGACTAGTTGGTCCACTGGTTCCAGGCAATTCTGTCCACCTCCCATCTGCTTCGAGGGACTCCCTGGGATTATAGACATGTGCACTACTGTGCACAGCTTTTAAGTGTGAGCTCTGAGGATTCAAACTTAGGTCACCAGCTTGTGCAGCAGGCACTCTGTCTCCTGAAATGTCTACCCAGCAGAGTGTGTGTGTGTGTGTGTGTGTGTGTGTGTGTGTGTGTGTGTGTGTACATGCGTGTGCATGCATGCACACCCATCTACATGTGCAGGAGAGTGTACACATGTGTACATGTGGAGACATTCCTCAGAAGTGCCTTTTACCTTTGTGTTTTTCTGTTTGTTTGGTTTTGTTTCCCGTTAGCCTGTGATTCACAGGTTAGGCTGGGGTCCCAAGGATCTTCCAATATCTGTCTCCTAGCAATTAGGTATCACACCCTTCAACTTGAGATGGATGGATCCATCTCCCCAGGCTCCTCCTGTGTGTCACATTGCAGGTTCATCTCAACAGCAGGGGGCAGTAGTGATCAGCAAGTCCAAAGACGGGCTGGTGCCCCTTAAAAGCCAGCAAGGAAAAAGGGGAAGATCCTCCAGAATTCTCACTCCACACCCATTGCCCAGATTTCTCCTCACTCCCTTCTGCAGTAGGCTGTTACTGGCGGTCCTGATGCTAAGCTGCGTGTGACAGAGAACACAGGAAGCTCAGGACCTGAGCTCTCTAAAGCCTCTGAGTCAGCGCCCTCATGACTGGGTTGGGAATGTGGGGACTCAGAGGAAGTGTTAAACTCACTCAGAGCCACACAGTGAGCAAGAGTGAACAGAGCCCTTCCCACTGCAGGGGAAGGCAGGACTCATGGTAAGGACCTTCCCTTTTGGAAAGGGTGTGTATCCAAAAGGTGGGCATGGTATGTGGGTGAGGTCCTGGGCATGTCTGTTCACTCACTGAGGCCCTATTGCCACCAGAGGCTCATTCATTGGCCATGCTAGGGAGACCAGACTGAGCCTCGGTCCTCTTTTGAGCCTCCTACCCACCCCCATGTTCCTGGGTGGGTCTCAGCTGCTCCAAAGAACCAGAAACACCTCAGGGATGCCTGTCTCCACATCTCAGCATCTCAAAGGGCACACTGTGCTCTGTGAAGATGTGAAGGCTGAGGGGTGGGATGTGGGGTTGAGGTGTATCAGCAGAGTGCAGCCTGGAGGCTGGTCTCATACAGGACAGGAGGGCTTGGCACACAGTTCAGGTCTTGAATATTTGTACTTTATACTATCCCACCTCTGCCTTTATCTCAGGACAGACCACCAAGAATCTTTCTCCTGTGGGCCCACCCTTCCTCCTTGGAGCCCATCCCAATATCATCCCTGGCTTCCCCTTCCTTAACTTACTGCTGATCTCTTAAAGTCTCTGACACTAAACATCAATGACATAAGGTCTTTAAAATGAAGCCACGTAGCAGAATGGAAGAGAGGGACTTCAGAGCCCCACTGACCTATGTCCTGACCACCCAGATGAGCAGAGAGAGTCTCCTAACCTGGGCCGTCTACAGGAGGTTCCAGTCCATGTAGCCAGCGACAAGCATGGAGATTGAGACTTGGCTCAGGGAGGCAGGTGACTGTCGGCCACCACCTGTAGCTGGCTGTTGATATCTGAGGTCATTCTCCCTTGAGATGGAGGCTCTTTGAGGGCATGGGTGGGGCCTTGTAGGTATTACAAGACCTAGCAAAAGTTGAATAATGATTGAATGGCTGATCTGTCTGGGGATAGGCAGGGTTCTCACAGGCAAGATGCAGGGACAAGACCCTGACCAGCATACCCTTACACAGCCTGTGCTCAGCCCCAGAAGCCCCTCCTTCCCAATCCCCATTCTCAACCCTATCTCAATGACATTTTCCCTTCCTAATTGCCCTTTTAAATGGAATTTATGAAGGTTTTCATAAATTTTAAAACTGATCTGCGCACTTTAATAAAAGCATGTGGTGGGCAGGGAGTATTAGGCTGCCAATTTTCCACACTGAAATTGCCAGAGGCGCATCTTGAATTGTTGAGGTCAGGAGCCTTCCTCTCCTCCAGTCCCTGGTGGGGCTGCTTCCCCAGAACTGACTACTGTGGTCTTTTGCTTGGCAGACCACAGTGAGCTGGGACGGAGACAAGCTCCAGTGCGTGCAGAAGGGCGAGAAGGAGGGGCGTGGCTGGACCCAGTGGATCGAGGGTGACGAGCTGCACCTGGTACGTTCCGTGGTGGGGACCCAGGCTGTGCCTTCAGAGGTCCTTATTCCCTGAAGGAGTGAATGGACGCTGGAAAGTAACACCTTGGCCAGGCATTGGTTCTATTCTGATGATGCTTCTCCTCTAAGGGTCTGGAGAAGGTGCCGAGTGACTTGGAAAACCATACGATTTGTTTTCAAGGTCTAGGCTGACCCAAGGTCCAGCCAGAGGGAGCAGGTGGAGAGGCATTTGGTAGTATTAGCAGCTGGCAAGGCCCTACTGTTCTCTAGAAATGGCAATCAGCTTCCTATCTTGGTGGTGAAGATGTGGAACTCTGAAAGGCGGGCTTGCACGTCCGGTTGGTTGCATGTCTACAAAGCACAGCGCCAACCTTTGCTCATTGCACATAACATATATGTGCCCTGTGCACAGCCAGGCCAGAGCCAAGCTGAATTCACCAGGACAATGTGATCTCAGCTTTGGCCAGGGGCCAGGTATAGCTCTCCTCAGTCCAGTCCTGTTCTCCACCCTTAGCCTTAGGTCAAAGCCACTTCCACTCTGTCTTCAGTCTGGGAAAAGCAAGCACAGAGGCCTGGGCTCCCTGAGAGCTAACACAGCCCACATCCTCTGAGGAGGAAGTCTCCTATCACTCCTCCACCCTGCAACTCCCCAAGTACCCTTCTACAGAAGGAACCTGGTCCAGATGACCTGGAGCTTAATCCTGGGCCAATCACTGAGTGCCTCGGGTAGGTCTCCAGCTGTCCTCATTCTCCTCTGATAATGCCATCCTGCTGCATATGAGCTCTGCAGCTGTGAGAATGTGAGCTGTGAGGGGAAGAGGCCAGCTGCATGGGGCCTATGCTGTGGGGTCCATCCCCAACTTGGGCTCTTCCCTGGCCCTCTGTTTACTTAGCTGCAAAAAGGGCAGACATAAGCTGGGTGGCGATGGCACAGGCCTTTAATTCCAGCACTCAGGAGGCAGAGCCAGGCAGATCTCTGTGAGTTCGAGGCCAGCCTGTTCTACAGAACAAGATCCAAGACAGGCACCAAAACTATATGGAGAAACCTTGTCTCAAAAAAGCCAAAAAAAAAAAAAAAAGGCAGTCATGATCTCAATGCCCCCTCACTCTTCAGCCCTGCAGCTCTATGCCAAGGCTGCAAATCAGGGTGTGGAAGGTTGTCAGGTGATTTCACTTGGTTCTTAAGGCGCTTCAGATTTCTTCAGTCATCACTTAAGCTTCAGTGAATGTCACACAATCAGCTTTCCAGTTCCAATTCCCAACAACTCAGAAGACACAGAGTTTGACTGTCATTGCCCCCTAGCCATGGTCTGCAGGAGCTGCCCCTGTGGGCAGATCTTGGGATATCTTGGTTGCACTTGGAACTACCTGGAAGGCTAGCCTCCACCACTGAGATACTGGCAACTCAGTATCATTTCCAAACTCCAGTAGACAGCCTAGGCTTAAATCCTTGCCTACTCAGAAACAACCTAGCGAACCAGTCCCTTCGAGCCTGGGCACAGGCTGTCCCAGGCCTGGGTTCCTAAAGCTCTTTGACTTTTTAAGGGAGTAGGAAGAGGGGAGCCATCAAGGGCTCCTATTGGTCAGCTCAGAACCAACCCTTCTCCCAGCCAGCTCTGTTTGTAGGAATCAGAGAGCCTGATCTCTGCGGCTCCCACTCCATCAACTTCCTCAGGAATTAGTTAAGCTCATGGGGAATGATAGTAGCCATTGAATATGTCCCAAGTCTCTGTCCCGAGATGCTCTGAGCCTCAAGCTCAACGTTGCTTCAGCTAATAACTAGTGTCTTTATTACCCCAGGAGATGAGAGCCCAGGGTGTGATCTGCAAGCAAGTATTCAAGAAAGTGCAGTGAGCAGCCCGAGAAGATAGCCTTGGTCTTTAGGAACAAGTGGGATGGGCCCGTGGTCAGGAGCCCCCACCCCCAGCATGGGGCTGGAACACATAGCCACCCAGGTATCTGCCAGCAAAGTCTGTCTCATCGCCTTGCCTCTTCCTTTTCTTAAGATGAAGCCACCCCCCAATAAAGGTCATCTCTGTTTAAGACGTGTGTTTTGGAGAAATTTCACATCGACCTGTGCTTGCTTTTTCTCCAGGGCCCCTGAGGCTGGTTTCTCCTGATGCCTCCCTTGGGTAGAGGGAGAAATTGCAAAGCCACGGAGGATTTAGGACTGAGGGTACAGCTGTGCATCTTTGCCCAGAGGCACAAGCTTAGCTCTGGAGTGTGCATGGTTTGGTATCTATCATCTGGGTGTTAAGTACTTTCCACATCACTCGTCCAACCCAAGTCACAGTGTAGTGAAGCCACAGAAGCGGGAGTCACCTTCAGCCTGGGCACTTCAGCCTTGAGAGGGCTGGTCAGCAGAATCTGGCCTCACGGGTGCACCATACACCCAGAGATGTCCCAGTGTTATCTATGAATGAAAGGGAAATGGACAGGATTTTCACCCAAAGCTAGAATGGGGGGAACCCTAATCAAAGGCAGATCCGAACTGGATTTGACTTCACCCCAGCCCCTGGTGGACTGATGCCAAGTCATTCTTCTCACTGTTCTACACGAGACATGCAAATCCCTCTAGGAAGGGAGAGCAGCTTCGCACTCAAGTCTAAGTGATCGCTGCCTGTGCCACCATTGCTGTAAAGAAACCCAGAGAAGGGGCTGGAAAGATAGCTCAGCAGTTAAGAGTGCTTACTGCTCTTGCAGAGGACCCAGGTCATGTCCTCACACACATGGCAGCTCCTTACCACCTGTAACTCTGACTCCAGGTGATCTGATACCCTATTCTGGCCACCTTGGGCTCCTGCACATACCTGGTACATATCTATATCTATGCATATATTATATATTATGTAACATAATATATATCCAGGCAGATACAAACATTTAAAATTAAAAAATAAATATTTAAAAGAAAGAAATGGAAGCAACTGAGAGACGTGGCTGTGTGGTAGAGTGCTTGACTAGCATGCATAAGATCCTAGGTTCAATCCAGGAAGAGAAAGAGAGAGAGAGCACACCAGCACTGGAAGGGGAGGAAGGATAGAGAAAATAATTGAAATAAGGGAAGACTCACATGGAGGAACACCCCTCCCTGATTAACCTGACAATCAACCTGTCAACCCAGCCAAACTCCATGCTTTGGAAATAGTATTGGTTTAGGAGTCACATGCAGAGTTCAAGTCCCAACTCACAGTCGCCGCTCACAGGGCAGCTCCACACCAGCCTAGACCTTGCTTCTGCCAGAGCATCTGCCTTCCCTCCACACAGGAGGGATGTGAAGCTGCAGATTGCCCAGTGCCAGAACATTCTCACACCCAGCTACATATTAGATAGCCACCTGGGGAGTTACACATTCTCTTCCTCTTGCCCCTCCTCCTTGCTCAGCAAGTCCTGATTACTCTGGAATTTTTTTTTTAATTTTTTTATTTTTATTTTGCAATACAATTCAGTTCCACATATCAGCCACAGACTCCCCTGTTCTCCCCCCTCCCGCCCCCCCCACCATCCCCCCAGCCCACCCCCCAATCCCACCTCCTCCAGGGCAAAGCCTCCCCCGTGGACTGAGATCAACCTGGTAGACTCAGTCCAGGCAGGTCCAGTCCCCTCCTCCCAGGCCGAGCCAAGCGATCCTGCACAGGCCCCAGGCTTCAAACAGCCGACCCATGCAATGAGCACAGGAATTTTTTTTTTTATTTATTCTTTGAGAATTTTGTTCAGTATATTTTTATTATATTCTTTCCCATCCCCAAATTTCTTGTAGATCCACCACCACTCTAGCTACCCAAGTTCAAATTCTTCTCTTAACACAAAAGAAAAAAGACACTGAAAACCATGGAGTCTGATTGGTGTTGGTCATCTACTCAGAAAGCCTGCCCCTACTACCACTCTATTGAAGAAAACTTGTTTGTTTGTTTTTTTTTCTCTCCCAGCAGCCATCTCTTGTGAATAATTTCTTGGCTCTTGGTGGAACTTTGTGCTCACTTCCCCTCCTTTGCGCTGGAGTTTTTTGTCTAACTTGAACTTGTGCAGGTCTTGTGCATTGTCACAGACTCTGGCATTCGATTATACTTCTGCACTGTTGTGTCCGGAAAAAGCTACTTCCTTGAAGTCATCTGGATCCTATAATCTCTCCATTTTCTGCATATATCCCTCAGCCTTTCAGAGAAGACTTTGATAAAGACATCCATTCAAGACTGAGCGCTCCAAAGTCTCTCACTCTCTGCACATTGTCCAGTTGTGGGCCTCTGTGTTAATTCCCATCTACTGCAAGATGGAGCTTCTCTGCTGAGAGCGAGTGATGAACTGATCTATGGGTATAGCAGTATGTCATTAGGGGTTGCTTTACTGTTATATTCATTTAGTAGAATAATAGCAGGATTTCCCCTAGGCCCATGATCTATCCAGTCTCAAGTTCTTAGACTCTTTAACAATACAGGTTTCATCTCAAGGAGTGGACCTTAAATTTTATCTAAAAAAGGAAGAAGAAGAAGAAGAAGAAGAAGAAGAAGAAGAAGAAGAAGAAGAAGAAGAAGAAGAAAAAGAAGAAGAAAAAGAGGAGGAGGAGGAGGAGGAGGAGGAGGAGGAGGAAAGAAGAAGAAATAGTGGTGGTTGGACCTGCCTCAACTGAATGTACCAGGCTCTGCTGACTCCCCATGGGAGGCTTTTCAGAGGAGGGAATGGAGGTGGGTTTGGGGGTGAATACTGGGGTGGGGAGGAGGGAAGAGAGGGGGCTCTGTGGTTGGTATGTAAAATGAATAAAAACATCTTAATAAAGAAAAAAAGATTTAAAAACAAAGAAGTAGTGGTGGGTGGTTAGTCCCTCACATTCTTGGCGCTGCGGTACCACTGGGCATACCTTGCAGACAGGTCACTATTATAGCTCACAGGGTTGATAGCTGGGTCACATTGGTGATTATTTTTCTCTTCTGATAGTGTATAAAGCACCGTCTAGCACTATGAATGCAAGTCAGTAGAGGCAAGGCTTTCAGTTGAGTACCAGCCAGCTTCCCCCGTGTTCTGTGCCATAATTATGAGGTGTCTTCAGCAATAGGGTCTTCCTGTCAGATGGTGGAGAGTGACCAATAGCATTGGCAATAGCCTACAGTGTTTGAGGGGTCAATGGAACCCTCTTAGACAATGATTCAAAGAGATGAAACCCATTCCTGCTACCGGGGGCTTTATTTGGTAGAATATGATGTCTAGTTGGGGTATTGTCTCCCCTACATATATGGTAACTCCATTTAAATTCCTTTCACTGTGTATATATTTTAGGCAGCTTCTACAGTAGTAGGTTTTAATATGGTTTTTCAAAGAACCTCTACCCCGCCCCCAAATTCCCCACCCCCTTTAATCTTCCTGTTTTAGTTCCCCTTCTGTCCCTTTATAACATTATATTCCATTTCCCTTTACTCAGTAGTCCCCACTTTCCCCTATGGTCCCTCACTAGCTACCTCCTCTGTGGTTATTCTGAATGAAATACACATATCTAAAGCATAAAAGCCAGCATACACATATAAGAGTAAACATGCAATGTTTGTCTTTCTGGGTCTGGGTTACCTCACTCAGAATAATTGTTTCTAGCCCCATCCATATACCTGCAAATTTCATAATTTCAGTTTTCCTAATAGCTGAATAATATTACCTTGTATAAATGTACGACATTTTCATTATCCATTCACACCACAGGTTCCCATAGTGCCTCATGTATTCATCAGTTGATGAACATCTTGGCTTTTTTCAATTCCTGGCAATTATGAATAGAGTGCCAATAAACATGGGTAAACAATTATCTCTGTAGTAAGATGAGAAGTCCCTGGGGAGTTCTTATAGGCTCCCCCCAGGCTGTTCCCAGAATCAGTTCTATTTGGATTGTATCAAAGAAAGAGGCATCTTTAGTTTTTAAGTTCCCAGGTGATTTGGGAAAGGCACCAGAATTAAGAGCTGCTGCCCTGGGCCAGGGGTTCCTGATGGGTAATTCAGCCTCAGCAATGTCTGGTGATATGATTTCAGGACGTGGGCAGGAACAGTGCTAAGCATCCTGCAGGGCACATGACAAAAATTTACCCACATGAAAATAACAAGGTTGAGAAACTGCCTTAGTTCATGTGGTGGTTTGAAAGAAAATGGCCCACAAAGGGAGTGGCACTATTAGGAGGTATGACTTTGTTGGAGTAGGTGTGACTTTGTTGGAAGAAGTGTGTCACTTGGGGGGTGAGCTTTGAGATCTCCTTTGCTCAAGCTACCCTCAGTGTGGTACACAGTTCACTTCCTGTTGCCGGTGGATCAAGATGTAGAACTTTCAGCTCCTTCTACAGCACCATGTCTGCCTGCATGCCACCATGTTCTGCCATGATGATAATGGACTAAACCTCTGAAACTGTTAAGCTAGCCCCAATTAAATATTTTTCTTTATAAGAGTTGCTGTGATCATTGTGTCTCTTCACAGCAATAGAAACCCTAATTAAGACAGTCATGCACTAGAAATGTTTTGTTTTGTTTTTGTTTTTGTTTTTATCATCAGTGTCACCAAAGGAACAGAAAGCCTAGACTTGCTTATGCTGTGGGACAACCCTTTTCTGACCAGCCTTGGTTTCTGACCCCATCAGTAGAGAACTCAGACAGGGGTTCTTGAAAAGACCATTCACACACAGATCTTTCTGAAGGCCTGTTATGTACCAGCTAATGACCAAGTGTCACACCCATTGGGCAGTCAGAAATGCTGGAAACACCACAAATTGTCCCATACTACCTCAGGTATTGAGGCCTCCCTCATGAGACCTCCCCTTCGAATATATAAATGCCATACTCAACAGTTAAGTCTGTATGGCAGACCAAGGCGTGGCCCCAGTACAAGCACATGTAGGAACTGTGGCCCTAACTTCAGGAGCTCTGGGCCTATGAAACTCAATGTCATTCTCACTTAATGGCCTGAATACCAGGACTGGTTCTAGTGGGCAGTAGGGAGCCAAGGAGGCTTTAGAGCAAGAGAGTGACCTGCTCGGGCTTTGAAAAGAATTATGCTGGTGGCCATTCTCTCAGTAGTA